ATTCTTAACGCGTGATTTCAACGTACACCCAAGAGCGTAGATGTAGTTGGCAAAACGAACACGACGTTTATCACACACTGGCCACCTACCCCGAACAGGTCAGTGGTCAGTCCATATCTAAAATCTAAAATCAATAAATGCAGTGATTTCACTCTTATTTGGCAATTACCAGTATCAAGCTTCTCGTTATCACCACACCTACATCACTCGCTCTCTCTAGCCATTCAAGGGGTGCCCTGAGGTAATTCCCTTTTTCCTGTCTCCCCTTCTTCAAAATTTGTGCATCAGTATTCCGCGATGTGATATTGTTTTGAATATATTGTTTTTTTATCCCGATTTGTTCGATGTTCTATCATGGTGACTTTTGACTATTCATTTGATTCGTTTTCTCTTGATTATCACGCGGTTCGATATCATTAGGTTAAATCTGGATTTGTTCCTGATACTGTTCGTCTCTTTAGAAATGGCGGTCACATAGTATATGATGAATATTGGATTCAACTTCTGATTTAGCAGATCTAGTGTTCTCTACAACTTTCTCTTTTGACTGTGTCGTGTCTGCCTTTTGACCATATTTTTATGGTGAGAATGATTGTTCAGTAAACATTGAGTGTATTACGAAGATACAGATAGAGAAGCTTATGAGATCATCTTCACCTTGCTAAGATTCCTCTTGGCAGAGCAAATCCAAGATTTAAGCTTTATCTGTTCAATTTTAAAGGTTTTATTTTTAAAGTTATGGATTCATATATACTACTTTTTGCAATTTTTATGTTTTTTGACACATAAATTTATGCTTTGCGTCTGAAGTACTGGTTTCAGATAAACTAGTACTGATACTCTGCATCCGCCTCTGGTCTCTGGATGTGCGGTTCTATCTAATTATAGTTTGCTTAGTTTGAGTTTAGTGGAGTATTTGCCTTTTCAATTAGGACTGATGCATAGTCATTTCTAGTTATAAAAGTTACAACAACATGCTCAGTGTAATCTCACAAAGTGGGTTCTGGAATGTTGACGTGGCTTGAACCTCTGACCTTCTGGTTAACAGCCACATGCTCTAACCAACTGAGCTATTCCAGCTCCGATAAAGATTGTAAAACACTAGAACCTATCACCTGCAAATTGTGTGTATGACCAAGTCCTGCTTCAAGTAGATGTCTAGTGTCTTTCTTTGATGGCGCTTGGATTAGAAAACAGTTCCCTTTCCTTTTTTTGTGACTTGTGTGTATTGGTTTTGGGAGGATTTTGTGATTGTTCAGATACAAGATATACTGTCTAGTATTTTAAAACTAAATTTGTGTTTTCTTTATTTTGCTTTATTTCCAAAAAATGCAGTTTGGGCTTGTTTGGAAAACTAAAGAATTGCTTGGTTGTTCTTTCAAAATAAACATGACCCGCAGTTTTTTAAACCCCCCACCCCCCATATTTTAAATATCCAAGCTTATATTGTTGAGATGCAGAAATGGAGTGCCTAACGTTTTAGATGTCAATTTGTGGGATCCACTTGTTTTCGAGATGAACTATATGTTGTCTGGCTTGTGACTGAATGTCTTGCTTTATGTTTCTAACTGATTGGCCAAATGCAATTTTCTATTTATAAATTCAAATTTATATAAGGAAATGTTGTCTATCATCTTATGAGATGAGCTGCATATTAAATTATTAATGTGCTTTGTATTGGCTCTTATATGTGTTGTCTTGATAACAGACTCTTGTATCATAATTTTCTAGATCACATACAAAAATGGTGAAGGCCGTCGCTGTCCTTAGCAGCAGTGAAGGTGTTAGTGGTACCATCTTCTTCACTCAAGATGGAGATGGTAATTTACTTTAATAATGGTAAAATGGTTTATTCATGCATCTATCATGGGTTACCTCTAATCAATGTAATGCATACAGCTCCAACCACAGTTAATGGAAATGTCTCTGGCCTAAAACCTGGACTTCATGGCTTCCATGTCCATGCCCTTGGTGATACCACAAATGGCTGCATGTCAACAGGTAATCTTATCTCCTTAAGACAGAGACATAGAAATGACTTTTAGATGTTTTTCATTTTGAATTTCTTCTTTGTAAACTTGCAGGACCACATTACAATCCTGCTGGTAAGGAGCATGGTGCTCCTGAAGATGAGGTGCGTCATGCTGGTGATCTTGGTAACATCACAGTTGGAGAAGATGGTAAGTTCCTTGTTTAATAATTGAACTTAACCTGGTTGTAGTTATCCTTATTTTATTTCAAATCAAACAACTGCAATTTGAAGATTTTAATAATCTTATATGCCTAGTGTATTTTGGTTTGACATGGCGTATAGTGGTAACCCCCACTGCCTACCTATAATTGTATTTGTCTTGAAACACAACTATTTTGCATAATGAAGCCAAAATTGATCTCAAAGAGGTCATTGCCTTCTCTCTCTCTCTCTCTCGCATAATTCCAAATTATTTAGCATCACTAATGGTGTAATCTTTGCAAAAAATTTCAGGTACTGCTTCTTTTACTATTACCGACAAGCAGGTAAATTCATTGTTGTTGAACTCTTAAGCTTTAATCTTGTTCTATACTTGTTCCTGAACTGATTTGCAACCTGAATTTTTGCAGATTCCTCTCACTGGTCCACAATCCATCATTGGAAGAGCTGTAGTTGTTCATGCTGATCCTGATGATCTTGGAAAGGGTTAGTTCCCTTACTCCAGAAACTAAACTTGTAATTGAGCCGAGTATGACATGCTTTTATTTAATTAATACAACAGAAAGTGAAAGACGAAAGAGGATAAGAAGTAAGAAATAGAATACATATAACCTTGGCACTCAACTTTTTATTTTAGTTTGCAGCCAGCGACATTCCATTATGGCCCATAGTGCTTGACATATAATTTTAACTAAGCTTTCACAATTCACCGCTGGTCAAAAAAGCATAGAAACCTTTATTTCCATTTCATGTGTTTTATTTATGGAGTCAGTTTAGAATATCCGGTATAGCAATTGAAAATATTACGGATCCGAGAAGGAAGAAGTCCAGGTGTGATTGTTCGTGGCATATGTTCTAGGTTAATCTTGAAAAAAATGATGAAGTTTCCTTTAAATAAGACTAGGCAAAGTGAAAGAGAAAGGGGCTGTAGTCTAACCATGGTCCCACTAGCAAGGATCCACTTTTATCTTTTCCACATCTCCCCAGCATCCATAAGATCTCATCTTTTTCTTCCATCAACGGATTTGCCATTCTCTGTATATTGAGGAGAATTAGATAGCCAGGTAATTGGTGTCTCAAAAATCAACTGGGAAGGGAAGGGCATTCCTGTGGTGATGTTAAATCTCCTTGAAGAATGAGGATGTGATCTCCATATATACACCCTCTAGGAATGAATAGGTATTATCTTATTTTCTTGATGGTCATGTAATTACCATAGGCCAGTGGTGCAATTGGTGGATAATGGCCCACCCTCTACCATTCTCCACTTAAATACTAGGATATTGTCTGTGTATAGTTTAAACCATGACACGTACTTAACTTACACATCATGTGTGGCGTTCTTACCACTGAACACAATCCCTGTGGACAGGAATGGTTGCTGTTATATAGGTTTCAATTTTGAATTTAAATCTGGAAATAGAACAGTGTGTGGACTGGCTGTGAGATGTGGGTGGTTGGAGCTGACGTGGGTCAGTTTGCTAAGATACTAGCTGCCAAACACAGTTCTTAAGTTTCTTTTTGGACTGATTGTTCTAGAAATTCTTTTGTTCCATGATGCTTGCTTTGGTTAATTATGCCTCTCTCTCTCTCTTCCCTTGTTTGTATTGGTCAAAAACTTAAAGTCACTTAATGCAGTCAGCAGAACAAATTCTTTTATTTCTGTGTGTGTGTGTGTGTGTGTGTGTGTGTGTGTGTGAGATAGAGAGAGAGAGAGAGAGAGATGGATTTACATTGCCGATGTTGGATGTAATTTGATTTTAGCCCGAAACTGGTACTTGTGATTGATTAAAAGAAGGGTGGACTGAGAGAACTAATGAGAAGAATATATTACAACGATAAACTTTTGAGTTTTCTTTTGGCTTACAGTTAAGTCATTGTGACGCCTTTGCTTTATCCACCTTAAATTACTGTTATATCTTTCGGGATTGAGGCTGGATTAAGACCCTAGGTTATCCTTTTAATGTGTGCACTTGGACTGCAAGAAGGATGTTCCTTATTTTGTAGATTGTGAGGCCGCAAATGCAAATACTCAAAGGGGATGATCATGATTATCAAGTAACAACTTGGTTCAGAAAGTAGGAAGGTAGGGAAGTGGACTACTGTTGCAATTAAGAGCCCGTTTGGTTTAGCTGAAAAAAAGTGGCTTTTAAAGATAAGTGCTTAAAGTACTTTTTAAGTGCTGAAACTTATTGTATAAATAATGAAGCCGGAAAAAAGTATTGGTATGTTTGGTATGTTTGGTATGTAAGTGTTGTTAAACACTTATTTTTGGTCAAATGACTGAAATGCCCT